AATATACCATTATATTATTTTCATTGTATATAAATTACAAAATTAATAATTTGTATACTATACTATACTAATATATTATTTGTATACTATACTAATAGTATAATATACTATATTATAATATTATTTATATAGAAAACTAATATCTTTATATATAAATATGAAAAGATATAAATATATGTAAAAATATGAAGATATAAATATATAAAAATATAAATATACGTAAAAGTATAAAGATAAGTATATAAATATATCAATATTTAAATATATATTAAAATATTAAAATATATTTTTATTTATAGATTTTATATTTATATATTTATACGGATATACATTTATTTGTATATAAATATAATTTATTTGTAAGTTATTATTAAAAGATCCTAGTAGCTCAGTGGTTGGAGTTTCAGCCTCCAACTCTAAGGTATCGGGTTCGAATCTCGACAATGACAATAAATCACCTAATAATAAGTTAAACTTCTAAAAAACATAATATAATTAAGAAGTAGGAGAAATAAATATAAATAAAAACTTAAATAAGCAAAAATATAATATAATTAAGAGAAGTAGGGAAAATATAATAAAAATGTAAATAAATAAAAATAATTAAATTTGTTATTGATTTAGCGTAACGATTTAAATCGATCGCTATTTTTTTAACTTTTTCATTGATTTAGTGACCGATTTAAATCGGTCGCTATTTTTTTACCTTTGTCATTGATTTAGCGACCGATTTAATTCAGTCGCTATTTAGCGACCGAATTAAATTTCGGTCGCTAAATAGCGACCAAATTAATTCGGTCGCTATTCAGCGACTGATTTAGCGACCAATTTGATATATTAATTTCGGTCGCTATTTTGCGACCGAAATGAAAATCGGTCGCTAACACATTAGCGACTAGGCTTTTTGCGACTACGCATTTCGGTCGCTAATTTCGGTCGCTAACTGATTAGCGACCGATTTTTGGCCATTAGCGACCGATTTTTTCGGTCGCTAAAACCGTTTTTTCTTGTAGTGTAATTATGGTCTTCATTCTAACGATCAAATATAAATGTAATCCCATACTGATAAACATACTGTAAACTGAATGCGAAAGCGTACCTGAATTTGCCATAATGATGATGTCCTTTTTAGAGCACTATTGATCTTATGGTCTTCCACCTGAAGAGCACCTGTATTTCCCTTTGGATTTTCTCTCTTGATGGGGATAGAAAGAAAGGAACGAGACTTATATTTACGTTCTGTGTGTGCTTCCAAAAGGGGACCATGACCCTTTAAATAACCAGAATTAGGTTAATTACTTATGTTTTAGTATTTTCAATTTGACACCTCATCAAATTAGAAATTACTCTATGGTCTTTACACAATTTTATTTTCATGACATATGTCTTTAGCCAAAACTTTAATTTATTCATATCACTTTATTATTTGGCTTAATAAATAATGACTCTAACACATTTAAATTATGTATCATATATATACATAACCCAAATTTTGCCAACAATCTTCCACTAGTCACAAATATATATGTCCTTACAACCTTACAAATGTGTTAAACTTTATGAGCTCAAAATCGTCATTATATTCCTTTAGCATACTCCAAAAGTCCTGTCCATTAATCATATCAGGATATAGAACCAAACCAGCTTTTCATTGCATCATTGCAATTAAAACCAACAATGATTACTCATCCTAACATAATCAAATGACATGGATTCATCATGAAATGTGTAGCATGAAAATTACGTGAAGGTGATCTGTACACGTCTATTTTCAATTGGTCCAAACTTTAACTTATCGAGATCGATATAATATCCTTAATGTACAAAGTGTAATGAATGAACGAAAAAACCGCATATCTATAGATAACCAAATATATCCAAAAATCAATGTATACATATATGAAATTAAACATAGAACATAAAATATATGTAAGTGACTAACTCCCACTAAACCATAAATTCCTCAAACTGTAAAACACCCATGTGAGCAACATGCTCATGAAAGACCTTGGGCGGAAGTCCTTTAGTTAGAGGATATGCTATCATGGAGTTTGTCCTTAAGTGTTCTATCGAAATCTGTCCACTTTGTACTCTTTCCTTAACAATACAGCTGATTTATTGTCACAATATAACTTAAGTGGTCTTTCAATGCCTTTCACAATTTGCAGCCCTGTGACAAAATTTCTCAACCATATTCCATGATTTGATGCCTCATAGCATGTTACAAATTCTTGACATCCTGCAAAATCTGAGTCAGAAAACCAAGCGATCTCCAACTGGTCTGACCTCCTGTATATGAGCATATAATCTTTTGTTCTCTTTAAATATCTTATCACCCTTTTTGCTGCTTTCCAATGGTCTATTCCTGAATTGCTTAAATATCTGCCTAGAACCCCAACTATGTATGTTATGTATGGACGCATACATATTTGGGAATACATCAAACTCCCGATAGCTAATGCATGGGGAATCTGTTGCATTTCCTCAATTTCCAAATTCCCCTTTGGGTACTAATTTAGACTAAACTTGTCTCCCTTAGTAACTGGAGTATCCCCGGCTCATGACGCATAGGTTCTTGAGGATCTTGAGTTTGGTCTTGATGAACAATCAAATCATCTTGAATATGGGGTTTATCATCAATGTCTTGTGGTGGTTTCGAACTTACTTTATCAAAAGTAACTGTTTGAATCGGTTCTGGATTTATTGTTGATTCTTCCTCCAATACAAAATTCTTAATCTTATTCTTCCCCCCAAACTCAATATTCTCAAAGAACATAACAGTTCCCATCTCAAAAATTGTCTTTAATGTGGGATCATAAAATTTATATCCCCTGGCTCTTTCAGAATAACCAATGAAGTAACTACTTACTGTTCGGGAGTCCAATTTTAGTTTAGTACCACGAGATTCTGTATTAAGAGTTTCATTATAGGTGACCACAATATTAAGTAAATATAGATTATCATGAGCCAAAAGTGAACAAATTCTAACAATATCTGAATTAAAAGACAAACTGAACTCATTGTTTCCAAATAAACACAAATAACCTAATTTGTCCAAATAAGAAACTGAAACCAAATTTCGTCTAAAAGACGGCACGGCAAAAATATCTTTTAAATCTAAAATAAAAAATTAGTACACAATAATAATCTAAAATGTCCAATAGTCTCCATCTCCACCGATTTGTCGTTTTCAACGTATATCCATCTTTCAGAATAAGTTGGCTTCCGGTAGTTTAGGCAACCCTTTCTTTTCACGCCAAGCATGATATTTAACACATTGCTTCTTTACGTGTCCAGTCTTATTGCAAAAGAAACATTTGTTTTCTTGAGTTTGTTTCTTTTGTTCTGGACCTTTAGCAACTTCCTTCTTAGGATCCTCCAATCTCTTTCTTTTGCCTTTAGCCTTAGAGGTGCTTACAAAATGAGCACTTTCTGTCTTGTCTTGCTTTAGCCTTTCTTCTTCTTATACACAATGTGAAATGAGCTCATTAAGAGACCATTTATCCTTTTGACAGTTGTAAGATACCTTAAACTGATTAAACGTTGCGAGAAGAGAAATCAACACCAAATGAATGAGCAAGTCTTCTGAGAGTTCGAGCTTTAGTGTCTTGAGTTTAAAAACAATATTAGACATGATCATAATGTACTCCTTGATATTTCTTTTGCCTTGATATTTCATGGAGATCAAGTTCTGAAGAAGAGTGCTTGCTTCCGCCTTATCACTTTTTGCAAAGCGCTGCTCAATTTCAGCAAGGAACTCTTTGGCACTTGTGATGTTTTCAGAAACAATGCCCCTAAACACCTCCGGGATGCTGCGCTTAATGATCATTAGACTCATGCGATTTGAGCGATCCCACTTCTCATAATCTCTTTTCTGTTTAGAGGTACTTGAATCCGTAGGAACAGGGGGTTGCTCAGTCCTTAACGCAAGATCCATATCCATGCAGCCAAGAATAATATCAATGTTCTCTTTCCAGTCCTTAAAAATTGTTCCATTGAGGACCGAAACAGAATTTAAATTGGCAGATACAGAAGCAATTGTAAGTCTGAATTAAGAACAAAAGAAATAAATCAATTATGCTCAATTATAAAAATAAATAATTATAAATAAAATATATATTCAAATAATGGTTTAACCCATCTCAAGACACCCAATGCACCATCAATATCAAGTCTTTGGACAGTAATATTAACTGCTAGAGGTATCTTGTTGTAATAATCAAACATTGACAATAAAGCATGTCCAACAACAAACTAGTCTTTGGATTGATTTATCATTGACAAAGCAAATCCTTATAATTATCACATGTTTATCATTACAGGTGTGTATGTAATTCGGCCAAATATTAATCTTCCTTTGGGCCGACTAATACTCGCATGAATATACACAAACACTAACATTCAATATTTTTTACGAACTACCCAATTCAAGAAAGGTTACTTTGGTAACTTCTTGACTCAATTTGTTCACAAAAATATTAAACTACAAAAAAAAATTAATATTTTATTTATATAACAAAACCAAATATTTAATAATTATTTATTTAAAATTAACAAGGAAAATTAATTCTTGTTGAGACATGGGCCAAATGGCCAATCATAATGCCAACGTCGTCCCTCATGCCTTTTCTTGATTTCTTTCTCACTAAACCCAAAACAAATAAACAAATGCTCTTTGTTCAAACATTTCCTTCCCTCTCAGTATAGGGCATGACGCCCCAATTATAAATTTTCATCATAAGCAATAAAAATACCTATGAAATAGTACCCATCACAGCATGAAGATCGATAACAATAATTCTATTTCAAGCGCTTTTGGGTCTTTGAAGGTAACAAAAACTGATTTTTTTTTTCCTTTTAGGACTGTCGCCTTGAATTAGTCTCAAGGCTGGAAAAACTGTCATGCTTTGGCTTAAGCATGTAATTGTTTATTTGTATTAACTCAGCATTGAAGTGATTGTTCTCGAGCACAACTGATGAACTGCCTAAAACAGTCATATATGGGTTTCCTTGTCAGCGGATTAGATAAAAACGAAGGCTTACTTAGTAATGCAGATGCAACTTTTAATAGAGCCTCCAATATCGTTGTTCTGAACAATTAGGCCATATTCAATTGCTATTCTTCATTCTTTTTCATAATATAAATCCAAATAATGAACTGACTGCTTTGCACCATTCTCTCATTGGTCTTGCACTGTAAAGTTTCCCGCATCTTGGGTAGTCATCAGTCTTGGGCCTCTTCGGGAACCTCGTTCCCCTCACCGTCTCAAATTTCAAGTCCGTGTGTCTCGGCTCAAACCCTACGTCATCTTCTTACAAGAACACGCTCGTCCACAAGGTCTTTCCTGGCCAGTACTTCCTCGCTGGCCGCCCCGACAAAGGCGAGGTCCGTCCGCCGCGCGACCTGCCACGCAACACCGAGACCGTCGACTCCAAGGCATTCACACTCACACATTCCCGACCCAGCATCGTTTCGCTCTTGCTCTCTGAAAACGACGACGACGATATTAAACTTGATCCTGAGTACCAGAATGTTGAGTTCTTGATCACCACTGGACCTCACAGCGAGTTCTGCAAGTTCTCCGTCTCACACCCCCAACCCAACAATGAACCTCGATGGCGTTGTATTCTGAATTCTGAATTATTGGTGCCAGAGAGAGAGAGATTGCAGAAGAAGACACGTTGAAGTTATAGTATCACAGGTTTTTCATTCCGCCTGGGCCGGACAAGAGCGTGGTGGAGAGCCAGGTCATGCAATAGCAGGAATTCGTGGATAATGCCACATGCAGAACACAGAATTGGATTTTAAGAAACCCTAGAATTCTTAATTTTGGGGTTTTTAATTAGGGATCAGGGTTCCGTAAATTAATTTCAATTCTTAAATATTTCCTAAGACAAATATGAATTAAGTATGGACGGCTCTGATACCATTTGTTAGGATCGAGCGCTTACCACTAGGCCAAAAGCTATAGCTATTAGTCAGAGCGCATAGCCTCCGCCACAGGGCAATTGATGCTACCTGCAACAATCTCCCCCTCAGCAATTGTCCTACAAGGAATCCCACTTGGATTGTGACTTGGCCCATCTAGCATGCGCCACTGATTGTGACTTGGCCCACTTGGCCTGCGCCAAGGGACAATTGTGCAACCTGCAACAATCTCCCCCTTAACAATTCCCCGCAGGAATCAAACTCGTAAAGATAATTACATACATTTAAAACATAATTACATACATTTAAATCACAAAAGTTTAAGTCTATTCGGACTAAGGGTTAATTAATGATTGATATTACGATTGAATAATATATTATTAATAAATATTAAATAAATATAAAAAATAAAGTAATATAAAAATATGAAAAATCAAAATTATAAATATATGGTTATAAAATTTAGGGATTATTAACAACAAAACACATTAGATAAATCGATAATTCACCGTATTTTAACATCACACAAGATTTATTTCATAATTTTTACATCACTTCGCATCGATGCGCGTTTATTATCATATCAAAAAACATAAATTTATCACATCACATTTATATATTCTAATAAAATGTTAATTATCATCTGACATAGATTTTAGAAAATTTTACGGAACATCTAAAAAATTATCATATAAAAACTTTCAAAGAATTAAATTATAATATTTTTTGATAATTTAAATACTATATAATATATATATATATATTGTTCAATTATTATTAAAATAAATAAATATCTATTAAATATAAATTATTATTTATTACTATTATTGTTATTTTTAATTAAAAAATGATAATAATAAATTATTATTATTATTTTAAAAAATATATTAAAAATTATTAATAATATATATAATTAAAAAAATAAGGTAGTTTATCTCTTCCTATTAGACGAGATAAACATTGGAAAAAAAAATAATATAAGGAAGATAAGGTGCATTTAATGAAGTAAAATAAATAAATAGAAAATGTGAGTATAAAAAAGAGATCACCATGAAAAATGAGGGAGGATGAACGAGAAAAGAGAAAAGAGAAATAGAGAAGGAATAAAGAGAGGAGGGATGGGAAAATGAGAAAGAAGAAAGAGAAAGAAAAAGAGGGAAATAATATATATAAAATTATCTTTAATAAAAGCTATTTATTGAGATGTTTAAATAAAGTATTAGTTGTTTGAAGTAATTTTTTGTTGGACGAAAATAAGTTTATGTAGCATGATAAGTGTTTATTTTTTTTTATTGTTGTTTCATCAAGTAACTTAAAGCATCTCCAAATGAAGTTTTTAATAAGAGTTGTTTAAGAATAAAATAGAATATTTTATTATGAATCTCATAATTGAGTTATTTAAAATTTTGTCGAATTGTTTATTCAAATAACTTTATTTCAATTTTAAACAATTTTATTCACTTTTAAATAATTCAGATGTGGGACTTATAATAAAATATTTATTTTTATTCTTATTCAACTCTTGGTAACAACTCCTTTTGAGATACTCTTACAAAAATAAGCAAATTAAAATAGATGATGAGAGAGAATACATTTTTTAAATTTATTAAAAAAAGTAATGTAGTAAAATTAACAATAAGTTGCTTAAAAATGATGTGATATCACAGATTCTTCTTTTATATTTTTTAAGATAAGAAACAACTCATGTGAGTTACTCTTATTGGAGATACCTTACTCGTTTAAAATTTTGGCACATAATATACAATTATTAAGGTATGGAAAAAGACATCTAGTATTCTATCTATTTTATTTTTAATTATGATGGTTAAGTGAGGTGTCCTTAATCTCACTCTATTTATTTAATTATATTTTGTTTATCTTTAATTACATACTAATATTATTATATTTATTTATTTTATCTCTAGTTATGCACTAGTCATATTATATTTATTTTATCTCTAGTTATGCAATGGTTCTATTATATATTTAATCTTCAGTTACACACTAGTTATGTTTTATACTTATTTTATTTATTTTCAGTTACACATTAGTCCTATTTTATTTATTTATAGTTACACATTAGTTTTATTTTATTTGTCTCTAGTTATGCATTGGTCTTTATTTATTAATTTATATTTATATTATTTAAATATTTATAAATAATAACATTTATTTATGATATTGTAGAGGAAGATTGAATCTTAGAGATTGAAATGAATAATATCACTTATAAATTGGTTAAATTTGGGTTAATTTATCATGATTAATCACTATAGATTTAATTTAAATCCTCATAATATAAAATAAAAAGAGTATGATGATGAAACCGAGAAGTATATTTTATATAACAATATTAAATTGTATTATTTTAAATGATAATTGTTCTCATTTTCCTATTATGATTTATTGTGTATGTTATACTTAAATATCAACTTAAGCAGATAGAGACACTAAATATTTCAAATCTTTTTTTGCAAAAATCAACATATTTTTCTAGGACTACTTAGAACATAAATATTATTGACAATTCGATTATATTTAGAGGGACAAGATTATCAATCTTGACATTTGCATCTAATATGTAAACTTCTATCATTTTAGATGGACAAATAATAGTAACTTTTTATATGTCCCTTACCATTCACCATAATCCTTTAATCAACTTGTTCCCACCAACGAGTGTAAATACCCGTGTGATAGTTGTAATAATAGAAAAAATAAAAAATAAATAAAACTCCTTATTCTTTTATATACCTTGTATAAAAAAAATAGTAGTGTAAATTACACTTATATATACAAAATATCTTTATCTCACATGTTGTCTCTCGTCCAAATTTAGTACGACCAAAATGTTACATTATATATATATATATATATATATATATATATATATATATATATATTCTCGAAAAACTAAATATTGAATTAAACTTATATATTTGACACTTGTCACACTCTCTCGCCTAACTTAGGTTCAAATAAATCAAACTATCATTATACATGTAAGCGGTGGTAAATCTCTTGTACTTTTTTATTATTGGTGAAATACACACCCTAACCCAAATAAAAGGAACCTCCGTCAATTGTTACCATCTAATTTTATCATCTATGTGAATTTACTTATACATAGAATTAGGATAATCTCATTAAATTATCAATTAAATATTTATACACACGACACTAAAATATATAAGGGTACTCATTGATAATTCTCATATTACAACATAATATATATTTTTATCAAATAACATTCAACACACTTTATTTCTTATTTATAATATATATTTGTAGTCGTATAATATCTAATATATCAAAGAAATTGCATTATATTTCAAATTTTTTAATTTTTAAGCTTTTAAACATAGCAAATTTTGACTTAAGCAAAATTTTTCCAAAAATTCACCTTTTTGAAAAAATTTCCCTTCACCAATTTTCACTTTATTTATTTTTACTTTTATTTTATCTCGTTCATATGAGTCTTTTTAATTTTTACACATCCAACAAATTAGTCTTTTTTTTTACTAGTTTTCTTTAACTTCATCTACAATGTGTTAGACAAATGACATCTAGTGGAGGTGAATAGATGCACAAATTAAAATAGATACCAAATTAAAAATTTATTTTAAGATGTCCAATATTTATTAATTCAATTTTCATTATCAAATTGAACAAAGATAAAGCGGAAACAATATAATCAGAGAGATAAAATATCAACAAGATTGAGAAAGATAGAGATAAAATAAGGGGCATAAAGAGAGTATAATATAGTGAAAAAGAGATAAGGGAAAGAGAAAAACACACAGTAGTTTATACTGGTTCGGGTATAGCCAACCCTACATCCAGTTCTCAGTCAACTCTTAACACAAGAGTGACTCAATTCACTATCTTTTAAATTCAGTTCATAAATTACAATCAATTTAGCAAAAAGTAAACTAATTCAAAAGACAATCACCTCCTTAGAAACCTACTAAAGATGAACACCTCCCTAGAATCCTACTAGGGATGAACATCTCCTCTGAATGAATCAAATGATGAACACACTTCCTTAGAATCTTACTAAGGATGAAAACCTCCCTAGAATCCCACTAGGGATGAACACCTCCTCTGAACAAATCAAAGGAATGAACAGTTCCACACAGAAAAAAAAACACAACAGAATGACAGTGACTACTTAAACCCTGAACATGAAATTTAACAATCAACCACTTAAGCTCATAAAGGATGAGGGTAATAAAATAAGAACAGTCACACTTGGGTAATGGAGACAACAAATTGTAGGAGTATGTAGAATGTCAACCTCCAAGAACAAGTGCGATTAACAATGAAAGCACAGTAGACAATGGAAAAGAGGGTTTTCTCAAAACATGTAAAATATATTTGTTGTCTTACTCAGAATTTTTTTCTTAAAACTTAATTAAATAGAAACATAACATCAGAAAATGGTCGTTGGACATTAATATTTTCGTGGATAAAAATCAAGATATATTAAAAATATTTATTCTTCAAAACAGATATATTTTTGAATTTCGAACTGCCATAATCGATTATCTCCTCAGCATAATCAATTATGTCAAGGTAAAAATCAATTTCTCAATTCTGATGCATCATGATTAATTATAACAGTGAAAATATCATGTTACGAAATTTTATCACACTTGTGCTTTGAAGGCTTATGCATAATATTACTTCATCAACTTGTACCTCTATATCCAGCATTTTAAGACTTTATCTAGTCTTCAAGAATTATCTTGGACTTG